AGAATTGCTAGGATTACTACTTTGCGATGATGCCGAAGGGAATCTAGTTTTTGATCAATGATGTATTTCACTGCTTTTAGTTTTGTCTTAGTGCTTGTTTGGCAACTGTTTATAATCGATCAAACCACTTTTTTATACACACGTTTCAGGTTTTTTTCCCGGATTTTCGGCGTGAAGAGTTTTATTGCTTCTGAGTTTAATGTGCTTAGTCTTCTTGGAAACTCAACTCAATAGATGAAGAGCTTTACGGAAGGCATCCTTTTCAATACTGTTACTGGACAGACAGCTTTCATAATTTGAACCGAAAACTATGGATGCATTGTCATTCTTCATTATGACTTTGTTGCTAACAGGAAAATGGACATTCTTACGTGTACACGTACGTTGATATTGAGCACTGGGTGGGGGGAAAATTCGGCGCCAATCAATTCTGATGATGTAGTTGTTATAAGTCTTTCCTAGTTAAAAGTTGATAAAAGTTGTGAGTCGTATAAAATGTGTGGTTAATATTAATCGCTGACTTTGAGACTACTACTGATAGACACAACCTTGCATTGCCTCTGGTGCGTGAGCCAGCTTTACTTGATTACTCCTCCAGTCAAGCAGCTGTTGGTGAAGAGGCTGATCTTGAAGTTTTCATTTTTCTTGGAATTTATTTCTTCTTCCCTCATTGGCTGAGCATACCGTCCATGAACCCGGGGGAATTTATTGATTCAGCAGATCAGCTTCCTCTTTAACAAAGGATTTCTCCATATCTTTAAAAGATCTTAAGGCTAATATTCCATCTACTGTGTGAAATGTTCTCGCGGAGCAATCAACAGTTGTGTACAATTATATGTATGCACAAGGGCAATTCCAACTATATAACTCAAACAGTCGAACACATTTACATTTTACGCAATTTTTATTATGTAATCTTGTGGTTGCAGAATAAATCACAAGTCGTCTGCTTTTTGAGTCATATGTAATGGAAGCGGGTATATGATTTAGTACGAGCACAATAAGAAGGCCTTTTGCGACTAGTAGTAGGCTAAATCTCTCTACAAACGCTTTTGTTGGATTCTATAATAGACGAGCCAAGGTAACCAAGTGCTTGTTTGTAAGTTTTTTAATTGCTTATAAGTTGAGAGCCCAAACTATGACCTGCTTGTGACAAGACCATAGTTGTTCGGCTCTTGAAACATAGTATTATATTATGTTGAATAGTACTCTACAAAAGGTCTTAACGTCTTTTATGTTTTTAATGTTGTCAACTACTAGCTAATTTGTCTTACCGGATGCCAGAGTATTTGCTTAAGGAGCCAGGATTGCAATGACTAAAGCTTTATTCAAAATTTCAAATTTTCTGTCGCTGTCTTGAATCCCTTTTCCTCCAGCTATTTTTTTAATGTGTAGTTTGCATAGTCATGGCAATGTGCCGAGCCGAGCCGAGCTGGCTCAGCCCTTAAACCCACAAACTCGTGGCTCGTTTACTTGCGGACGAGCTAGGCTTGGCTCGGCTCACGAGCCCACGAGCTTTCTGAAATTTTTTTGACTTTTCACGTTTTTTTCAAAAAATTTCTATAATTTTTCATGAGCCCACGGCCCATGAGCCGCTCACGAGCTCAACGATCCTAGCCTTGCTCGGCTCGTCGAGCTCACTTGCGGCTCGGGCTTGCAGCCTAGCCGATGAGCTGCTCGGCCCGTTTGCTATCTCTAAGTTTGCAAGATTATGTTAGATTAGCAATACATGCTGTTTAGTTGATAAATTATTGTGATTAAGACTTAAAGAGGGTCGTGATATACTATTGATCCTCGTGTAGCCACTACATTATATTGTTGACTTTTTAACGACCCAAAATATATTTTTTTCCCTGTAGACTTGAATCGTCACAAAAAACTTTATTATTTAATCTAAGCAGAAATTTTAACATTATTTCATAAATCTGGGGATTTTATTGATAATGTTAATTCATCAGCTTGCCTTTAAATGAAATTTTTTTCATACATAATTAAAACAAAAATTAAATATACTATGAATTTAAAATTGTAAAGTTTAACATGTCAAAAAGGCACAATTGCCAAAATTTCTAAAAAATATAAACAATTCTTAAATTAAAATTTGCCAAAATATGAACATTTTACTTAGCGACCTCATAAGCATCATTCAGTCAATTTTCCAAGCATACACATGATTCGTTCTAATCTGAAAAGTTATTGTAAGATTGAGTATTTTGAAAAATA